TTGTCCATAAAGATTTGATTTTGTATTCTCATGTCTTCCTACGAACCGACAGAATTAAGAAACCGTTAAAAGCTACGAAGGGCCTTTTAGAGTGATTAAAAGAAATGAAAATTACTTCATAATACAAAATCAAAGGTAAGGGAGTATATACTTGTATTGAAAAGCAGAAGCAACTTATTGTATAATATCATACAATAAAACCAAGCGATTTCTGACATCCAGCTCGAAACCCAAGTAAATGCAAAGACTTCGGTATAGCTTGTCCCAAATGACGAACGATCTCAACTTGTGCGACTTGAACGACGAATAAAACGTCCTTTACGCTTAAGTAACAATGTTGAAAATTTTTTCTAAACACTACTGCTGAATATGTATAACTCCAATTGTATATATTTATTTATTACATAATATTTTAAAAAGTTCTAACATTAGTTAACTTACCTTATATTCTTCCAATAACAGTATATCGTAACATTGCTGCTGACGAGGGAGTAATATAGTGGCAACTAATTTAATATTTTTAAAAATTATTATTAGCATTTTTCCCAGTTCTTTTAAAGTCTGTAATATGTACCGAAAGATGTATAGAATATGGATATGTATGTATAATATGTATGGAAGTTGTATTGAGAATGATTATGCTCTTTAAAGGCTAAGACAAGAAACTGATAGATAAATTTCGTCATATATTTATGAATGTAATAGTACTTCGCCATGAGGAATGTCCTGCATAGAAAATGCGAGCTGGAAATGGAAAGTGAACAGCATAATGAGGCCGATCCTGCTTTATTAACTGCATGCGAATTTCTTCATTTTCTAAACACTAGTTAAATTTATTTTACTTTCTATTTCTGCGACAAGTAAATGCAAACAATTGCTTATATGCATAAACAAAGCGAGGCAGCAGAGAAGTGGGTAAGCAAATTTGCATATGTCTGATTTTTTTGATTATTTTGAATTTCTCTGATTATTCTGTTCTTTTATACTTTAATAGATCGATTTCTTGTCTTAACTTTGAAACTCCTTTGGTTTCCTTTTTCTTTTGCACTTTGATGTTTCATTTTCTGACTAATTTGGCAGATCTGTAAAAACTGTTTTGCTATTTTGTAATAACGTTGTATACAAATAATTGTCATAATTAATAGGTAAAAGTTTACCATTGGGTGCCCCTTGTTCTTTTGGCGATTATGTTTTGACGCAAAAATCAGCGCAACCGCTACACAAAACCAAAATAAGATGTCAAAGAATTGCACAAACTCGGTGTCCATGTACACATCGATCTATTTTCACTTAAGAAACATCAGTGAATTTCACAAACTGGGCATTGCGCACTGCCTTAACTTTGTTCATGTACACATCGATCAATTTTCACTTAAAAATTGTTTTCTTAAATGTTTTACTATGTATTATCATTTTGAATTGAACTCAAAAGTTATTTAAAAGTATACTCTTATAACATATCGACAACAGCCAGTTAGCTAGTCTATTTCATGTTTACTGCATAAGCTAAGGAAATAAAAATAAATTAATTCACATTGGAAAGAAAAACTGTGTTTAAAGTTATTTTTTGATAAGCGGATGAATAGTCTCCCATTTTAGGTCTTATATAACATCATAAACTCCTAAAAGTAACATAATAAAAGACTGCGATGACTGAGGAACTTCTATCTTTTTCTCTTTTTTGATAACTGTGTAATTCATTTACTAACTGTATAGTTCATTTATAAAAAATATGTTTACATCAGTAACAGTGCTTTCTGTGTTGAAAAAGTGTTAATTTTTCATAAAAAAATTATTTCTCTGAACTGCAACTTTTTTAGACCTTTAGATTTAAGGAGATCTAAAATTCTGTAGAAACTCAATTATTTCATAAGAAGTATTTGCAGTTTAATTTCATTTTTTAACTTTTGGAAAATGCGGGTTTCCAATCTTTCTTTTCATGCAAATAAAAATATTAAAAATATATATATGTCATTTATTGATATAAAGGGCAGTAAACGAAAAGAAATAAATTTTCTTTACCTCCGCTACGGTAAGTACTCATTCCGCTCACAGAAAAAAAAAAAAAAAAAAACATTCTACTTATTCGCAGTTTTTTAATATACAGTTGGGCTGTGAACCCTGATAGTTCGAATATTAGAAGTTCTAATATATAAGAATAATACATGCAGGGTGCATAAAACATTGTTCGTAGATGAAAAAAATGCGCATCCCAATACCTTTTGAAGTAAGAAGAAAAACAAACTGAGGATTGGATTATAATAAATTCGGGAAAAGTGGCTGCAATTATAGCCACTACCTTCACTAGCCGTTATTAGAATAGTACAAGACATTTTATAAGAATACATAAGTACCTGATTTACGTGGATCGTTATTTTTTTCCTTTCCTTCACCACTATTATTCCTCTAATTATAAAGAATCTGTAATGCTAGGACTCTTTATGCGAAATCCATTCTACATAGGACTAGTTTGGTTACCCCAGAAACCGCTTATAGCGAATTAAATACATAACTGCTTTGCATGTGGATTGACTTTCTACCTCAAAGGGGCGTTAGCCCAGAAAGACTATTAGTCTCAAAATGACATTTTGCATCGGTTCACTATAAATTTCCATTTCACTTTTCGAATTGTTGCCATTAAATATCATAGCCCTGTATTATACTTAAAGAAAGAAAATAATAAAGAATCTTCATGAATGTGTGTATGCATGTTTCTCGCACTGTGAAAAAAACTATGCTACCTAGAGCCATCTGATTTTGAAAAGCGTAGTCCTCCACCCTAACATGAGCACCAGGAAGTCCGAATTCGGAATTTGTTTTATTGTGTGTTTCATATTCATTCATTTAAATCCACATACTGAATAAATTTAGGGAACTTTTACATGCTGCGATTATTGACGAAATGACTCCACTCGTGAACTTTATAAACTGTAAGAAACCTTTATATCTGAAATAACCTATGGACACCCACCTCTTTAGCGTTATTATTACAATTCATTATAACATTGTGTGTTGGAAGTACTAATTATAATTATCTCATCATGTTTATCTGTTTACAAATTATGTTTATCGCCTATTTTTGTTGCACCAAAACAGATGTTCAATTTAATTTGTGAATTTCAAATTGTATTCAGACTATTTTATAATCTACTTTTGTCCTACATCATTATTTTTAACAAATACTGGATGCGGGGTGTATGGTGGGATTGCATGATGTATCATAATAGGCAAACTCTAGATCATTTCGAAAGCTTCAGTCGATGTAAATTCTTATAAAACTTGCAATCCTCCCTTTTTTTAAAGAGTTAGTGTGGGAAGGCATTACCAGTTGATCTATGGTACGTCGCTGGTATCCCCCACACTTTTATCTGTACCTGTACCTATGTATTTCATATTTTGTAAACCTTTAACGAATTATTTATTACCAAACTCAAAACTCAGTGATTTCAAAGCGAGCAATGGCAGCAACATACGGAAAAGAAACATTCTTATCTCTAGCGTACGAGACTGCTTATCAGAAATTCTTAAAGATATGGTGGTGTGGTGTGGTGTGGTGTATTTAATTATGGCAAAGCACACTAGGGCTATCTGCCTAAGGGGAGGGATGCCTTCGTGGAGGACTTTCTAAGGGAAACTGGCTCGTATACACGTTAACATGGGAAAAACCACGAAAACACCCATGCAGCCAGCCCGTTCGCCTTAAAGATATGCTATTTTTAAATATTTTTAGCCCATAGGGACATTAAACCAAATGCTCTCGAAATATGTATGTGTGTGTAAATGAAAAAGAAAAGTTCCTTTGGGTGCAATATAAAATTTGCAAGTTTTTGGACTTTTTTTAACACGGCTTGTGTAAACCTAGTACTTATTATGTAAAATCTGCTCTAAATTGTATTAATTTTAATTAGCACAGAAATCATGTGGAGCAGTTATCCAAGAATTTTGAAAGCTATATCAAGGTGGGAAAATTAAGAAACTGTTCATTTTTACTGTAACATTTTTCAGTCTGATTTATATACTGTAGGCTTCTTTTAATAATTAATCATAATATAACTTTACCGAGGGTTCAATGGACTTTTCTTTCTTTTCCAGAGTTTGAAAATAAATGGAAAACCACATTCCACAAATCAGACACAAAATAACGATTATTTTTTCTAATTACAAAGCAACTATCTAACTTCAAAATGAGCAAGCAAACTGAAGAAAGGGGCTTTCTGAAAAGAGTCTTCTTTGTAAGAGAAATTTCTGTACCTCCATTCCTAAATTTGGAAGAGGAAACACTTTTGGAAAAAGAAAACTAGTCGAATTTAATGGTTTTCATATTGAGAACGTTGCATAATAAAATATGTGACAGCTCGCAACCAGTTACACAATATGTGTTCTTTTTTATACGTTCTCATTAAATTTTTGTAAAGAATAATAACAGTACATGTTTTTATGCGTGTATGCATTTAAAAAAACAAAAAACAGGTTCTCCAAGGCATTTTGTGAATACAGGAGAAAATATTTAAAATGAAGGGCCACACTGTAATCCTTGATATTAAAAAAATTAATAACATATCATCTATATATATAATGTAGGTAAATCACAATCGTATCATACGTATTTGTATATACAATGTGCATTATAACAAAAAAGTATTAACGGTACTGATTAATGTATAAGTAATTGAAAACACAGCTTTTATTTAGGACAAAAGGCATTCAGTTCCCTTAATTAGCTAACTTAAGTAAAACGTGTTAACAACATTTCAGGAAATAGGTTATACCACTACCCTCTTGAGATCCTTTCATACTGCATCAAAAGCATCACGAAAACATCACTGAAAACTGTTGCTCCCTTTACTTTTGTGCGTTCCCCCTTTTAAACCTTTGCAAAAAGAAAAGAAATAAACTCCGGCAGGAAAAAAAAGCCGCTTTTTCGAAGCCGTTCGTTTAGAAGAATCCATACAGCGCCACTAGGCGGCGCTGCATGTTATCAGATCATAGGTAAATGCGAGCAGACGATCTCCTCCAGCATCACAAATAGTATTTCTTCCTTTGCTGTCGCTGAGGCCGCAAGCTCAGGTGTTCGCAGTTATAAATAAACTTGAATCCTGGATGGAGTGAAATTCTGAATGGATTAAAGCTACAGCATCATAAGGAAATACTCGTTTAAAGCACGCGCATCATCGTATATTATTATTGCATTTATTCTTTTCTGATAAAAGAAGAATGTTGGCAAGTGTGAGCATTCTTTCACATGCATGCAAAGTGTGCATACTCAGTAGCTGCGTGTTGCCTATTGAAATGATAAGTAAGAAAAATCTTTATTTTGGATGCTAATATTGTAAGTTTTATGTGAAATATTTGTTGGAAAGTTTTCGAATAGAAATGTTTGTGAAATTTTATACATGAAAATACGTGACAATAATTTAGTAGCACGGTTTCTAGAAAGTTCGTTTGGCTCCTCATAACCCAAAGTGCATCAAGTTGTTCGTAAAGATAATTTTAACTTGGTAAATAAGTAAGTGTTAGCTTACCTTTGCAACATTTACCATCAAGAAGAAAAATAACATACGGATTTGTATTATTTGAAGAACTTGTGTTTTTTTTTTATATAGAAGCTTTAAATTAATATCTGATTGTAAGAGCAGTAAAAGGAAGAAAACAAAACTAACTTATTTATAACTGTAATGTGTGTTTAGGGCTTTTAACTAGATTTCTAAAAAATAATATCGTTTGCATTTTCGAAAGAGAAATTAAGAACGATTACTAATGATAATTGTTGCCTAACATATTTCTATGCAAAGAAGTAAGCTTAATAAATTTTCTCTATGCAAAATAAAAATTATTTTTGAAAACAGTAATATATTTTATTAGAATTAAGTTTATAGATTATTCTTTATCAAACCAGTTTTATTTAAGTAAGTTTTGGAAGTAACATAAAATTAGGCGAGTTTCATAATTGTTAGGAATTCGAAAATAAATAACCGTACATCTTTCATTATTTAATTGTATTAGTGTGTCAAAACAAAACGAGAACAAGTTTTAGAAGTTGAAAATGTTTTCTTAATAATTTCAGAACATAAAATTTCTTTAATGTAAATAACTGAACTTTAAAAAAAAAGATTTGTTATTAAAAGCATATAACTTTGTTTTCATTCATTGTTAAAAAAAGCGTTCATACGAATATAAATAAAATGATCAAATTGTTAAATTTTTATCAGGAAATTAAGATGATAGAATTTTGCAGTTCTGTAAGAAAAGCAATGAATTATAAATCTGACAATAACATATAATTCAGAAAATTATTATATATAAAAATCTGAATTAAATAAAATGTGCGCTAATGGGAAAATAAGCATGAACTTCATACTAATGCAAAAAGATAGATTATAACAAAAATTTAGCATTTATATTCATCTTACATATTTTGTAGTAAGTTATACTAAAGAACTGAAGATAAATAAGACAGAGAGAAGCAAAAATCATATGCGATATCTATTTTACAAGTGGGAACAAAAAGAAATTTTTATTGCCTGCACTCATCTGTGCGTTTGTTTTAAATTTTAAACAGATACTTTGTATGTAAAAGACATTATTTGTGGAAAGCTTAATATACTGATACAGAAACAAGACAGTGACTTTGTCAATAGTTAAATTCCTTGCAAATTTTTTTAAAAACCAAGGAAAAAAAAGATTTAAAGAATTTTAAATTTGAAAATACATAAATGCATTTTATTAGGAAATTTAAAAGTGATAAAGAACTGCTTTTATAAAACTATATTTTATAGTAGTGTTAACTTTTTGAGTTTCATAAACACTTTCCATATAAAAATTTATATTACTTAAAAAGTATAAGAATGGCAAACCAGGAATCTTCACCAAAACTTCTTATCGATGGTCAGCAGACTTTTGTTGCTTCAGAATCACTGACTAACGAAGCTGAAACCTCGCTTACAGAGCGATGTGGGTATTGCAACAAACCCAAGAGACCAGAAAAATCTCAATCATCGCCAGAAAACACGCATTTATGTCAGTGCCCCAGCGCTTCCGAATCTACTGATCCAAACATCCGATTGGGAACAGTTCCCTCAAGCGCTTTTCGCAGATCACCATCACCGCGACCCTCTCTTGTGCCATCACCTGGACGCTCGAATGCAACCCTTGGAATACAAAGTGATGGTGGGAAAGTAGAAATTGTGAGCATTCGTGAGAAGCACGGTTTTTTCCGGAAGGCAATACCACATATGCCATTGCCATTGGCTGTGTTCTTATGCTTGCTGAACGTTTTGCTTCCTGGCACTGGTAAGCGACTTTTTAATTCTTATTTATTTTTGAGCTTGTAAAAGAATAACAGTTAGAAAAGTTTCAATTTTTGGATGTTTTTGAAATTTTGTGAAATATATTTTTTTCAGAACTACATATGAGTAAAACGCTTTGGATACTAGTGAGTTTAATGGGTTAATGCTACTGTATAAGATATACGAAATGCAATCCAAATTATTCAAGTGACAGATAGAGCGTTAAAATAATGATTTCAAAAATTCTCCTATTTAAGAAACAATTTAACATATAATTTAATCAAAAATTAGTAGCTCGTACAACCAACGTGATCATCGATAAATGCCCGAAGACTACAAGAAGGCTAGTTTTATATATAAGTTAACTTTTTCCACAGGGCTGGGACATATATGTTCCAAATGTTCAAAATTTTAAATGTGTCTCAAAAAATTTCAGTAAATTATAGAGATTTAAAATTTACTTTTTAATATGACGTAGGAAGTGTAAGGCCCTGTTAATTTGTTTTTCTGCTTCTTCCTGTAAAATTAGCTGATTTAATGTCTCTAATACAAGATTGCCTACATAAAATTTGGTTCCTAGAGCCCTTTGGGAAAAGGTTAATGATATCTTGAAGCAGCAATGGCTTACGTGCAACATGTGGCTGGTAAAGTCTCTTTGTGCGGTTTGCTGCTTAGCTAACAAAATTTATGATTCTTAATTTAATTTTCGAACGCATGCATATATTTATATTTCTAAACTTCTTTAGAGCTATTTTCATATGAAGATTATTTGAAATTAATATCACAATAAACTTCATCCGTGGTTATTTTCTATGACATATAATATTTTCTAAGCGTATTATATTGTGTGTCTTGGGCCTGCAGCTTCAAGATATAGCTTAAATTAGCCTCAAAGGTTTAGAAGTTGGTTGTTGCTGTTTCAAGGAATATGCAGTTTAGGGTTCAAGTAATTTTGCCACGTTCTTCTTCCTAAATACTACGTGAATACAATAATGCTAAAAATGCAATAGTTCCTAAATATGTTGGGTGATCAGTGAAAAGAAAGGGAAGAAATAAGCATTGAATCCAAGTTCATGTAGTAGTTGACATTCAGTAATGATGACGGGTGCGGGACCAGAAAGAAACAGCTTTATAAAGTTCGATACATGCCAAACTATTATAGTTCTAGCCAGCATTATAATAACTAGCCAACAGCTACGGCAGTTTTATATAGATGCTTTCCCTAAACCTATTTAGAGCACCAGTTTGCTTTATATTAGGCATTATGAGACATCATCTATACAGTTCTGCCTTGCACGCCAGAATTTTCATTCAACATTCTTTCTTCGACAATTCCGTTTAAGCGCTCTGTTTCAAATTCTATGGATGTAACGAATTCTTTGATTTTGAAACGTCATTTTTCTCACTGACTTTCACTTTTTTTATTTCTGATAAGTATCAGGGATAGCTATATCTTTTAAAGTAATAGTTAATTAATCTACATGGACAAAAACCTTGATAAGGACTTCACTGCAGCATAAATATTATTTTATATGCAGCATAAATAGTGAAATAACGTTGCACCAGAGTAAGGAACGCCCAGACCGGGCCACCGAGTAGCTCATGCAAGGTTTTTATGAACTAACACCCAAAGGCGATCCTATGAGACCGAACTTCCCCCAAGGACTACCTTTTAGATTATTTAATGTGGAGCGACCACACAGCTCAAGACAGACTTGACAGTATCCTTACATTCACTGCCGAGCCTGAATGAATCACCGGATAAACGATGACTCTAGTCACTGTGAAGTCAGCTGATCCCTCACATACTGTCCACATAAGAGTTGCCATCTCGAAGGGAAGGGGTCGCTCCGGATTAAGCCGTGAAAGAGGGATAGCACACTTTCGTGTTGCCGCTGCCCTCCCTACATTGAGGGAAGGCCTTTCGGAGGGGTTATTAAAACAACAGATGATCCTTTTAGTAGCACATAGAAAAATAGTGAGATTACATATGCAAATTTTATTTAAATTTTTTAATTTTGGATTTCAGCTGCTTTGTTCTCCATTTGTGGATATGCTAAGAATGACTTATTTGAATGAGTTAACCGCGATGTTACTGAAATTTCGAATGCTAATATTTGTAAAATGCATATTGTTATTTTTAAATTACTTCTGCCTTAATTCTTAAAACTGATTTGGAGGTAAAATATTTATATGCATGCTAACAAATTTTTTCCTGAATACTATCTGTTTAATTTGTGGGGTAATTTAAGTTAAAAGGATAATTGTATAAAGATATCAACTCATAATGAAGTTCCATCAAATAGATATTTGATGTAATTACAACATAGGAGGAAAGAAAGATTTAAAAAAAAAAAAAATTAAACTTTTTTTTTCAAAGTTTCTGTTGCAGAGTTGTATAAGATTCCAGAATTACGTTATTTATCGGACACTGAAATTCTGCAAAAAATATTTCTTTTGCTATTGAGCTATCTGAAATTCTTCAGATTTAAAATTGAATTTAAATTTAAATTTAATTTTCATGTAAAGGCAAGGAAAATTTTCTGAAACTTTTTGTTGCTAATAATGGTATCAGTAACATTTTTAGGGTAAAACATTTTCATCCTTGGACAAGAAAATAAATACCGTACTTATGAAAAATGAAATAAGTATTGATATATAATAATTAATATGAAAATAAAGATCGTATTTCAGTTTTTATTTTAAGTTGTTTGCTTTGTTAAGCTAAATCTCCATTTTCTATTTTTAGAAAATATGAATTATTATTAATTATAAAATGTTTTTAATTCTCTTCCATTTACTAATTGCGTATGAATGAAAGCATGCGCCTGTACATGAGCTGACACCTAAATGTGCTTTTAATTTTGAAATGGACTACAAAAAAGTGCCCTGGCTAGAAACACGAGCCTTACTGCAAAGCTACTTTGCTAAGAATTTCATTCTGCAACCAGGTGGGCATTTAATTACTGCAGATCCATCATCCAGAGTTAATGTGCACCAGATTTAAGTTTTATACTACATAATATTAATATTTACTTGCGAGTAGTTTGCAAACTTACATCTAATAATAAAAGTTTCATAAAACTAAAACGCAAGAATGTATGTCTTTGCAATCAATATTTTTTATTTAAAAAGCAGAATTTCACAATATTTTAATATAAAGGGTGTTGAAATAACTATCGCAAGCTGTAAATAAATTTAAATATTGGTCCTTTCTACTATGAAATTTATTTAAAATAAGGTAGAAAATTTCACGGAAATATTTCCGTCACTGGGATTGGAGGGTTATGTAAAATAAGTTTTTAGATGATCCCTGTGAATTTCCACTTGGTGAAATATACATTTTATTTTATTTATTTAGATATAAAATATTCCATAGCTTTATTTTCAAAATTCTCGATGCTATGATTAACAAATACTTTCACGAAGGTGTTCTGTAAATTTAATATGTATGCTATTACGAATAACTGTATTTTTGTAGCTGTTTCCCAAATTTTTTTTCGAATATTTTGAATTATGCTCATGATGTGCACGAAAAAATAATCTTGTCAGCAGATTTTTATCTCAATGAGTTTTTGAAACAGGCATGTAAAGGCAAGGAATATTTTTATTTTAAATTAAGAGTGATAAGTATTCAACTAACTGGAAGTTTTCCATGGATAGTGTAAGATGTTAGATTTTATTTTTATAAAAGAAACCGCCCCACTAATAATGTTCATGAAATTGTTTAAAAAAAATATAAATTTATGTTTGGGATAAATATTTAACGAAATAAAACATATAGCCAGCTTTTTGAATTATACATTTGTTGTTTCTTTTAACAATATTCTTTTCATTCTATAAAAGGCAGTTTGTATATAACAAGCATATAGTAAATATCGTCCTTCATATAAAATGCAACGCTTTCGCTTTTTGGGCATCATGAAAGTTCTTTCAAACATAATTATACTTTCTTCAATAAATTTTATAATTTAAAGTTTAAGTTTACCGGAGAAAATTTAATTTTATATTACCAAATACATTACATAAATTACATGAAATTTGCTGGTTGTAATCACTGACTAAATTAATTCTTCTTTAGCATTAAAATTTTTAAACTGCAAAGCAATACGTAAACAAATCAGGGTAAGATCCAGGATTTCATGGCCATATATATACGGTCTAGATTCTGTACCTTACTGAGAGGATTTTCTTAGTGCAAATGTGTTAAAGCTCACTTGAAAATTCTATAACTGTAAATGCATATTTTAGTTTTCGGCACACAGCGCAAGCACACTACTTAGCTTCTCACTTTGTATTGCTTTACTTGGAATTCATTTATGTGTATGTATCTGTTAGCTACATCAAAATCATAACTTTTTATTGTTATTAGGATATAAGAATTATCTGTATCACTATTGTCTTTAAAATAGTTAGTAACACTGAGCATGGTCCAGTTTCATTCCATTCTCACACCAGTGTTCTCAGAGTGACTCTAATAATAGTGCTGCCAGTACTAAGCACTCAGCATACCTGTTATGATCTCAGTCCTCTCAATCCTATTTTACATTAGTGATATTAAATGATTTATAGTTTCACGTTAAAAGCACAGTACTTTTGAGTTCCCTCACAGCATTAATGCACGTTATTTAGCATGGCATCTATCGTAGCGTCCCCTGCCAACTCCGCTTCCTCAGCAGGAACCTGCCTCTCGACTGCTACCTCACAGGTCTCCGCTATTGTACAAGAAACTGACTCCGACTCCTCTAGTAGGGAAGTTATATTTAATAAGCACTGTGATAAGATCTTAGCGTTGCTGACGGCCAAAAACACATCGAAAAAATTTAATAAGGCAGATACTACCATACTGCGAAATAGCCTCAGCAAACTAAGGAGCTTACTAACAGAGCAAGAGCTTACGATAGCAAGACTAGAAGGGCAATTAGAGGAGACCAGATCAAGTGTCACTCTAAAGTGCACTCACCAGAACACGGTACATTCAAAAGACGAGAATAATCAAATTCC